CTGGTTGATAGCAACTTACCAAAATATTTTTGATAGCGATTTTAATACGATATGACGGTAGCTACAATAGCCTGTGAATCGTTAGCTTACTGAGCTAGCTGTCCTCGTAGCCAAATCACTGTTTTTATCTTTACATATATCGATAGCTTTTCGCTAATTTAAACAAGCTAGCGATCCTCGTGGCCAAATCGCTGTCTTTATCGTAACGATTATAGCTAGCTGTTCGCTAGCCGATTTCTCGACGGGCAGCCATTACAAAAATAATTTGCCGTAATAAAAAGGCATGGAAAACATAATAGAACGCATGCAGATGGTATAAAAAATATTTAATAAAGTTGTATTTCAAAATATATTTTTATTGCAGCTGACTTAAAACTTTAAGTTTTTATATCAAATTGTATATAATATACATAAATCTCAAGTAAATTCGATTTATTCAGGTTATTTTTGTTTACAATTTCATTTTATTTTAGGTTGACCATTTTAACAAAATCATATTTAAAAAACTTGATTTTTTAAATATAATGTTTCTTAGTACTTTATTTTAATAATATTCAGATGTATAAAGAATACAAAAAAGGAACTGTTTGTATTTTGAAAAATAAATATGTATTTATGTTTTATCTCAAAGCATATACATTAAACACTCAAGAAAATTGTTCAAGATCACTAGTTTATCCTGGTGTAACAAATTTACCAAGAGATCGTTCACACTCCCCGATTATTCAATCAGATATAGTCAACTTTGAAATTATTAATTTAAAATCACTCAAATTACCTCTTCATCCTAAAAGCATTAAAACTAATTTTAAAAGTTTTGAATTATGTTTACAAAAAAAATTGGATTTATCAAATTCATCTTCTACAGGTTCTTAGGCCGGATTTTCTAACCAGTAAGTTGGTGCATCTTCTCAGTTTCCTTTAAGTACTGAAAGTAACTATTATTTTTATAATGTTCTAGTTTTAATTTATATTTTAAGTTAGTCCATATGCAGGTATGGAGGAAGAGAGAATCCCCCAAAAGTATTAAAAAGGAGGAGGGGTGTTAACGACAGTAAGTATGCAGATTATCTTTTTTATGAATTTTTTTCTAAAACAAGGTTTCTTTATTTTAAACAGAAAACAGTGCATTTTTCTTAAGATCTTAAACCACTGAGTCCATCTTATGTTTTTTTAAACAGTCTGTTCTTAAATTGAATACATATATTGTTCTAAAAATAAATTTGTATCATCGTCATTATATATATAAACTATGATCTATTAAATATAGGTTTATTTTAAGGTTTTAACATCTTTTGTTAAAACCTTAAATAAAAATACATTGGCTAAATAAGGTAATAAAAGTAATAATTAAGTTGGTACTTTAAAAAAATATATTTTTTCAACTTTAATAAAAAGATAAATACATCATCTTTAAAATAAACCTAAATTTTATAGATCATAGTTTGTAACTACCAAGAGATATTATGACGATGATACAAATTCATTTTTACAATCATAATTTTATTATTTTATAATTGCATGATGATATTAATCACTTTTTTCAATAATAGTTATAAATTTATTCCTAAAAATTATTTTAGCATTTCAGTATTTATAATATTATAATAAAAAGGTTGTTCGCTGTAATTTAGTATCTTTTGTAAAATGTCAATAACATCTTTTTAGTTGATTTAGATAAAAATCTACCAAAATTTTATGAAAAATATAATAACAAAAAAGTTAACTTTTTGCAATATATTGAATTAAATTATAAATTTCAAAAACAGTAAATGATATAAGGTTATATATTAAAAATTTTTTTTCACTTAAAATAAATTTATTATTATCATGTCATCAGTTACATCTAATATATATATATATATATATATATATATATATATATATATATATATATATATATATATATATATATATATATATATATATATATATATATATATATATATATATATATATATATATATATATATAATATATATATATATATATATATATATATATATATATATATATATATATATATATATATATATATATATATATATATATATATACATTTATTGATTATTGTTGAATTGGCGCAAAATTTCTCAGTATAGGTCTACTTACAGTTGAGAAATAACTTATTACATAATGTCTAAAATAATAATTTTATTTCTTAACTCTCATTTTTTTTTTTTAATTAAAATCTTAATTTAAATTTAAAGTAAAATTTTAAAAGATATGTCTTTTTTCAAACAAAATACGCAATCTTTTTACTAATGACTTAGAGTATGGATTTACAACAAAAGTAATTATGTTAATGTTTTTAAAACAAGTTTTTGTTTTAATTCTTTTGCAATCTTTTTTATAAATTTTTTATACAAGTCTTTAAAGTAGAATATAAACATTAAATTGGTATCTTGTTAAATTTTCATTGAAGTAAGTGTTCTAAAAAATCATTTAAACATGAAGTCAATGCGAAATCTGCGGACTTAAAAAAAGAGTTGACTCGATGAAGGTTTTATAACCATAGTTTCCTTAGTTAGAGTTGATCTAGTTTTTTAACAATCTAGTGTATTTTTTGTTTTTTTTTTTTAATAATTGTGGTACTAAAAAGTAGTAATAAAAAGTAAGATTGTGGTATATATATGTTTTCTTAAGCGATACAGGGACAAAAGATTTATCTTGAACTCTTGCGAATTTGCTTTATCTATAAAAAGTTTGTATTTTTCAGACAGTAATTTTTACTCTCTTTTAAAATCTGGTTTAAAAAAAATTTGGAATTTTTGAGAAGTATTAATTTCAGTAAAATGACTTTCGTGGGGCATATCAGAACAACAAAAGTATTTATATAATTAAGTATATTACTACCATTTCGCAATGCTGTTTGAAGTTTGATGATTTTATTTTTAATCTAAAATATTTTTTTATTTTTGTTTAGGAAATCGACTTTTAATATAATTTCAAGGAAATTCTTATTTTTATAACTTAAATTCGATTATTTAGAGTGTTTAATGTAAACAAAGAAGGTGAAAAAGTATATACGAAAGGCCAATCATCTAAACGGGATGAAATTCAGTTTTAGTGTGAGTAATCAGAAACTTTGAACTAGCTGATAGAAACTTTTTAACTGGTGATATATATGGCATATTTAAGTTTGCTCTACATTGCCAAATCGCTATTTAGCCAGCTCATCAAAAATGATACCGAATTATATATCACATAAGTCACATCAAAAATGTTACTATTTCAGGATATTTTTTGGTGACTTATGTGATTCATAAAATTTTTTGTTTAATTTCAAACTTATAAGCTGTTTTCGATTTAATAATATATAGGTTTGAGAAGAGCGGAGATAATTTAGTATAAAACACACAAAAAAATATATATTTTTCTATTTTGTATGTTTATTTATTTTTTGTGGTGTATGGGTGTAAGAGGATGTGTTTTCTATGCGTATGTTTCTTTTTTTAAAGTCTTATGGCTGAGCATTTCTAAGCAATAGATAGCCTTTATTTTTTTTATCATTATTAAGTTTTACAACTGACAAATAAGTGCTACTTTTTAACTGTCCCAATTTGCCCCACCAACTTTCAAAATATAAATGTTTTGCTAGTCTAGAGATTCGTTATTTTGGTTATCATAACTTATGTTCACATTTTTTTTGTCTTTTTTTCATTTTCTTATATCAGTTAAATTAAGGAAAATTTAAAAAACTGTGTTAACTGTGATTAGTTATCCGCAACTAGTATTTGTTTCTTAAATGTCCCTATTTGCCACGCTCTACCCTATATATCGTAGCTCTGTAACTAGCTATAAAACATCCACAAATCTATACCTGGTTGATAGTTACATATCTAAATTTTATTACGATATGAGCGATTTTTTTACGATATGACGCTAACTATATTAGCCAGTTGGCCCTTATCTTATGAAGCTATCTTTACTCGTAGCCAAATTGCTGTCTATATCTTTACAAAGATTGATAGATTTTCTAGCGATCCTCATGGCCAAATTGCTATCTTTGTCGTTACAATTATAGCTAGCTGTTTGCTAGCCGATTTTCCACCGGGACACTTACGTGTATATATATATATATATATATATATATATATATATATATATATATATATATATATATATATATATATATATATAATATATAAATATATATATATATATATATATATATATATATATATATATATATATATATATATATATATATATATATATATATATATATATATATATAAATACGCGTAAGTGTCCCGGTGGGAAATCGGCTAGCAAACAGCTAGCTAGAACCGCAACATATATATATATATATATATATATATATATATATATATATATATATATATATATATATATATATATATATATATATATATATATATATATATATATATATATGTATATTATATATATATATATATATATATATATATATATATATATATATATATATATATATATATATATATATATATATATATATATTTATATTTATATGTGTGTTTGTGTTTATCTCTGTGTGTTTGTATATATATATATATATATATATATATAAAATATATATATATATATATATATATATATATATATATATATATATATATATATATATATATATATATATATATATATATATATATATATATATATATATATATATATATATATATATATATATATAATTAAAAAAGTTAGTCAACAAAATAAACAATAAACGAAATATTTTTTCATTTAATTTTACAAAAATTACTCTAATTATAAATTTTAGCACTGCAGGCCTTTCAAAAAATCATCAGTAATAGTTTTCGAAGGCCTCTAGTGCTAAAATTTATAATTAGAGTAATTTTTGTAAAATTAAAAGAAGAAAATATTTTGTTTATTGTTTATTTTGTTGACTAACTTTTTTACTTAATGGTTATAAAAATATTTCAAGTTATAAAAATATACAATTCTAATTTACAACATTAAAACAATTTAAAAACTTTGAAAAGTTTTACCTTCATATAAATTGCATGGTTCAATCTCAATGTTAGTTCCATTGCAATTCACCCACTGATTATTGCTGCAAATGCGAGTTCGAGTTTTAATACAAGATTTATTGCACTCAGACCAATCACTCCAATCAGACCATATAACTAAAAAATAGTAGGTAAATACTTACACAAAGAAATCTCATTTTTGTTGAAAAAAAAAACCTTAGTTTCATAAAATGTGTTATTTTATTTTTCAGAAAACAACAATTTTTTGAAAAAAACTTCAATACTAATATAATTACTTTGTATGTGACAAAAACTTAAATACTATTATTTTAACTTAAAAACTTTTATCTATTTTTTTTGTTACACCATAGTATAAATACACCATAAATATGCTACAAGATTTTTCGCAAACCACTTCCTGGTGGGCATCGTACCAAAAAAAGACGTCTTTTGAACGTTTAAAATACGACCAAAACGTTCAAAAGACGTCTAAAACGTTCAAAAGACGTTTAAAAGACGTCTAAAACGTGAAAAGGACGTTTAAAAGACGTCTTTTTTAAATCCGTATCCACTGGGTTTGCTATACCAAAATCTCATTCTAAACAGAGTTCTTGTTCAATTCAGAATCGTGGATCGCTTTTTTGGAAAAGATTCCCAAACATTATTTCCGAAACGAAAACTTCTCTACATCTGTTCAAAACTGATTCAAAACAGTTTTAAACACAGATTTTGATTTATTTTATTATTAGTCTTTTTTTTAAAAATAGATCAGATATATCAAATAAAAAATAAAAACAAGGAACTATTCCTTGTAATCATCAAATAAAGGTTAAAATTTATTGACAATAACCATTATCACGAATCACATTTTCTCCCTTTTAATTTTTTGTGCGTATATATATATATATATATATATATATATATATATATATATATATATATATATATATATATATATATATATTTATATATATACTCATGTATGTGTATATATGTTTATATATATATATATATATATATATATATATATATATATATATATATATATATATATATATATATATATATATTTATATATATATAAATATATATATGTATGTGGATAATCTATATAAAGTTAATAATACAATAATGCAGTTATATATAACATGCTAAAAGCAAATTTTTTTAAGTAAATAATTAACAATAATTTAAAAAAGTTGTAGTTAGAATCACTGCAATAATTAGTACTAAATAATAAATTACTCATTAATTTAAAACAATAAGAAAAAGTCTGAAAATGCTTAAAATAAATATATAAAAATACTTTAAAAAGTTACCATTCACAATCACTGAATAGATAATTAATTTATATTTAAACATAAATCAAGTTTATAAATCTGGTTTATAAATTAAGGCATAGTCTTATTCCAGAAAACATTTAAAAAAATTATGATCAAAAACCAATACCTTAATACCAATAAAAAGCCTGAAAATACACAATTAAAGTTCCCTAACGAAAAAAAAAAAAGTCAAAATAAATTTGACTACTATTCTATTTTTGTTATACCATCTAATGGTAACAATTTATCAAAATTTATAATAAAATTTAATAATTTAAGAACAAAAGTCATTAAAAAAATTTAATAGCAATAAAAAAAGTCTAAAAACGCGCAAATATGGTAAAATAAGTTCTTTTAGCAACAAATAAGAACAAAAAAAGTGTTTTTTTTTTTATTGTTCACAAGCATCAATTTACGTTACTCAAGGTTAAATTTTATAACCAAATTACTATGTAATTAAATTAGCTCCTAGCGCCAAAGAAAGACACTAAAGAAATCTATATTTTGTTTCACTTTGTTTTATTCAGCAACAAACTAGCACTATCAAAAGTCATTTTTTTTTCTATGATCTACCCTAATGTTTAGTTATAATACAATAAATAGGTGAAACAAACATTGGTAAAAAAAAAATGGGCCTAACACACTACCTTGTGTCTATAAAAACAAAGGATTTTCAAGAGTGAAAGTATGATGTTAGTCATTTTAGTGCAATATCTGTGACATCAAATTCAGCTTTTATACGAGCAATTAGCAGGTTATGATAAATTGTATCAAACGCAGCAGATATATCCAGAGAGAGAGAATGGTGGCTAAAGTACCCTCATGTTTAACGGGATGTCATTGTATATTTTTAGGAGTGCTGTTTTTATTGAGTGATTTGATCTAACACCATATTGAAAAGGATTGAAGTTAACAGTTAAAGTTACATGTGGAAAAAGTCAAGATAAAGCAAGCTTTTCAAGATTTTTGGCTCTTATATTGAAGTTTAATATGGGGCGCTAATCAGTGAGTTTAAAAATTGTTTGTCATGATTTTTTTGAAATTGGTGTAATTTGAGCAATCTTGAATGAGACTGGGAAAATTCCAGATTTGTATAAGAGGTTGGCAAGGTGAGCTATAGATGGAATAAATTCTGAAGACGATTTAAGAATGGTTGTTAGAAGGTTTGAGAGTTTTGATTACATGCTAATTATCAGTAGAAGTGACTGTACCAAATGTGGTAAAAATATCTACAGGGGGATATTGCTCCATAATGAAACCAGATTGTGGGATTGTAGAAAGTCTATCTTGAATATTTTTTTTATAGCATCAAGTTTGCTTGGAAAATATGACTTATTAAGTTGCATTTTGTTTCAAGTATTGTGTAATTAGTTGGCAGTAATCCATGCTTCTTTTTGATTACCATGTGCTGAGTTAAATTTTTTTTTATAATAGTTACATTTAAATTAGTGAATTTCTGTAAATGCATATCAATATCCAGTTTGATAAAATTTTTATCTTATAAATTACCAATTTTCTATAACAACGCTCCGGTTTACGACGTAGGCTTTTTTTAATCTTTGCATCAGAAGAAAACCATTGATTACTATGCCTGCTCATCAAGTCTACTTAAATATTTTCATATTAGTGCCAAATTATTTAGAACGATTGTTATATTTGTTTTAATTTACTCAGATAATTTCTTCTTGAATTACAGCAGGATTAACTGGCTTTATCTAAGTATCAATCAGTAAAAAATATCTAACGATTGATTTTGTGCTATTTCATGAATGATGTCAGATTTCTTTATAGCAGATTGGACATTTTGGATACCTAAGTTTAATGTAGATTGTGCTAGAGAAGTTCTTTTAGTTTTCTTTGTAAATTATGCAGATGTAATTTTGATACATTTGCGCTCGCCTAATCGTATACTCCAATAGTATTTTTTTCGATTGTGCAGATTGTATCGTTGCCTCCCACTTGTTCCCTCAATTTCATAGGTGCTTCATTTCTAGTGTTTCGAATTTTTATAAGTTCACTATCAAATGAACTTAAATAAATCTTATAGCCTGTCATTTTCTCCATTAATTTGTTTGTCCATAATGGTTTGATAAGCAACTCCACTTAGAATAATGTTGTTTTTAATTCAGTTTTTGTTATTAAATTCATTAGTTTATTCATTAGTTAAATTCATTATTTAAGCCATCATTACCACTTTGGTTTTTTTGGTTTTGTTAAAATTATCTGATTTGATGCTGGTTGTGCAAATAAGAATATTGTTATGGGATTATTTGATGTTGATGCTGTTAAAGAATTTATTTTTTCAACTTCAAGCGCTCTAATTAATTTTAAAATATCTGAAACAGTTAATGATATTTTCGTGCACCATGCTCTTGGAACTGTCGGTTACCACTCTGAATACCGGTGGATTACCTCCTTATTTTATATTTTAACCTAATCAACACAAATAGTTAGTTTTAATGTTTTCTTTTCCGTATATATATATATATATATATATATATATATATATATATATATATATATATATATATATATATATATATACCCAGCGGGCACAGACGTCAATCAAACGTCTTACGGACGTCTTAACTAGGTCGCGACGTCTCAGACCAAATTAGGACGTCCTAAAGACGTCCGGTAAAGACGTCTTTGTTAGGACGTCCTTGTGACGTTAATATAAAGACGATATTAGGACTTCCATATTTAGACGTCCTATTGACGTCGCTAAGACCTACATTAGACGTCCTAATTACCTTAGAAATAAGTAAAAAAATTAATATTATCAACTTGGCGCATACAATATTATGCGCTAACTCGGTTAATTAAATATGTCTATTTGTTTTGGTTGAATATTTTGAGATTATTAATTTTGTTTAGTTATTTATCGTTTGAAGATACTTTTTAATTTTCTATATTCTATACTCTATGATCTATAAACTATAATCGATACAATATTTAAATTAAAGAAAATTGATTTTAGTTATTAAGTGTAACTAAGTTACAAGTATAATGAGGAAATTTTAACAAAAGACATCAAAATTGCACCAAGACTTTTCACTTTGTGTTTTATAGAATAGTAATAATATTTTGTGTGTCTGTGTTATATATAATATATATATATATACATATATATATATATATATATATATATATATATATATATATATATATATATATATATATATATATATATATATATATATATATATATATATATATATATATATATATATATATATATCTATATATATATATATAGTATTAGTATTAGTATTAATTTATGCTGTGACTGGTATTGATACCAGTGAGTGTGGTTTTAAGCACACTAAGACAGCTGAATTCCGTGATGGTTTGACTGCCATTGATCAAGTTTTGCTTTGAATGAATTCGTTGAAGTAGCCCTGACAATATTTTCCGGCAGTGCATTTCAATAATTTGCAGCTCGATTAAGCAAAATATTTTCTCTACACTTATGTACTGAAAATTCTTTAGAATATTTCAGGTTATGGCCAAGAGTACAACTTGATTTAAATAAATAAATTTCTTTAAATTCAACTTTATCATAACCTTTGAAAATTCTATATAGTTGTATAATGTCTCCTCGTTGTCTTCTTTTAATAAGTGAGGGTATTTTAAGATAAGCAAGTCGATCTTCATAGCATAATTTACTGATTTGAGGTATTAGTTTAGTTGCACGACGCTGTACTTTTTCTAAAATGATTATATCATGCTTTTGATAAAGAGCCCATACTGGTATAGCAAACTCAAGTAGCGGTCGAACAAATAAAAGATATAAGGATTTAAGCAGTTAAGCATCAAATCGAACAAAAGATT